GCCTTATCCACCTGGCCATGCCGGGCCCAGATATTAGCCCAAGTTTCTAGAACTTTATGTCACATGCCTTCTAGCTATCACCTAAATTATAACATTGAAAATATAACTAACAACAAACTTAAAAACACTGCAGTTTCATATATCTAATATATTTATTATAACAGTATTTATATGTTAACAGTTACTACAGCTGATTTAGTGCTTTTATAATTTAAGTTCTTAGAATACTTACTTTAAAACTATAAGGCACAACTCACATCTCTCTTAAACTAAAACTGTATACCTCCAGTCGGAGGTTTGAACCAAAAATGAACCCTTGACGAATATAATTTGTTAAAAACTTTAAAGAGTGATTTATATTTAACAAATGCAAATCGAAATAAATAATTCGTGGATGAGACAACAATATGTAAACATTAAGTTATGGCTAGTGCATTACGTAAGTAACTCAGAGACTGCCCTCCAATTTTGAGGCATGCTGTTTATTTTAATACTATTTTTTCAATATTTTTGAAAGGTTCTTGTATATCCCCCAAGAACGGGTATGTCTAACACAGGTTGGGAACCACTGACTAACCCAACAGTCTGAATTACTAAATATTGATACATAGTTCAAGTTTTAATTTTTCTCCTTGACAAAATATTAGTATGTTATATAAAAATTTCTAGATAAATAAGATTAAAATTTCATTTGCTTGACGTGTATGTGGTCATTGTAGGTCCGTATACATATTAAAACTACAATATAAATTATCTGAGTCATCTAAGAAGATTGCTTTGGGGCCTCACCTTATAAATGAGCAAAATCTCTTTTATTGGGGGCTCTCCATCATTGGCCTTAGCCAAGATCTTAAACAAATTAGATCACATTTGCACATCACATTTGCCTAGGGCATGTATAAATACATTAGACTTAACTGGTAACCTTTGGTTAGTTTGTTCTTTCATATTTGTTAGTAATTTTATTTTAATAGAACCAAATTACAATGATATTATTTACTACAACTAAAGACAGACAATATTCTTAATGAAAGACAGTACTGGACTAACAGACCATCAAGGAGTTATCTTGGAATTTATGGGTTACCAGAACTTCACTAAGAAGGATGCCCCTTGCGACCTATAGTATTGAATATTGGAATTTAAAACGTTTTGGCCGTTTTTTGTTGTTATTGAATTTTCGAAGAAGTTCACCCAAAATTAATACACCCTGAAGGACAGTTTTGAGTTTCATCCCAAAATATATACACCCTGAAGGACAGTTTTGAGTTTCATCCCGAAATAAAACTACTAAAGTTTGACAGTAGTTTTCATTGTGCCAGTTTTGACATTGAGTCATTGTACACTAATATACCATACAGATGATTGCTGATTCGATTTACAAAGATAACTGCAAAAAAAATAAAACATTCCCAAATCATTTTTTTTAATTAATTAACTTTCCCACTAGCCTGTCTCATTTTATTTTGTATGGAAAGGTATATAATCAAGTTGATGATGTTATCATGGGTCCAAAAATTGGTACCATTTCTTGTAAATTTGTTTTTGTGTTTCCACAAAAAACAATAGTTGGAAAACTGCCTGAAAGCTTACGCCACTCCAATATCACGGGCATGTGGGTGAAACCTTCACCATTTTAAAAAATCCTCATCAAGTTCCAAATTCTTACAATATTTGAACAGCAGACATAGTAGTTTGAAATTTACTATAGGAAATCAGAAGAATCACGAACTTCACTTTTTGGACACTTTAATCAGTAATAATAGTGGACAATTCAAATATGAAGTGTATCACAAAAATCTTTCACTGACTTGTATTTTATTTTTGCAAGCTTCATTTCTTGTATTTTAAAATAAAATTTAGCCAAAATACCTTTTTACTGTACTTAGAGATTTTAGCACGTATGTGGATTTGCATAAAGAATTTATGAATATCAAAGAATTACTGTGTAAAAATGATTTTCCACCTTGTCATCAACAGAATACTTCGTTGTTATTTAAATAACCAAAATGTTAATATACCATATATAATTGTAGGCAGATTTTGTTAAACAAGACCGATGTCTGTAGGTTTACTTTCTTCTTAGAATTCTTCTCAAGAAGTCGATAAGCCGTCTTAACGTTGTTAGAACAACAGGTAAAAGTTGTAGATAGCGATGAGTTGGCCAACGCGGTTCGAATGCATTCTGCATCCATTATCAAGGCTGAATGTTGTGTGAATTGTGATTACTGTTGGTGGATATTTATAGGTATGGGTACGCAGGTGGCGGTATCTAGCTAGTGGAAGGCGTTAATTGTGTGTGTGTATATATGGCAGATTTTGTTAAACAAGACCGATGTGAAGAGTTGTGAAGTCGTTAAACAATGCACCTACAAAATGGAGTCATCAAAGAACATTGTGCCCGCATCCACAAGCAAAAACTCACATGTCAGGACCTAGTGCAAAACACCAAAGTAAACCACTGATTTAACGACTTCACAACTCTTCAAATACACGAAGCAATAAAAATCCTACAGCAAACTCCCATAATCAACAAACAATCGACAGGAACAGCACGCGCACTGCTACTTCTTGGCGAGAAACCCCCAAGCCACAATACAACACTCCACCAACACACACACACACACACACATATACATATATATCCACTTGCATGCACTTTTTGCTAAACAAGAAAAGTACAATAAAAATTATGTGGAGTTCATCAGTAGCAGGTAATTTATTATTTTTATGCTGTTACAAGATATGATCTGTTAAATGTTACTATTTTACTTCAGCCCTGGACTGGATGTATATTATGCAAAGCACCCAAACTGAATTTTTGTATTTTGATGCACCACAATTGTCTCATGAACCTAGAAATAGTCATTGTGCCATATCAATGGTAAAAGTATGAAGTACAATTATCACATACACTTCAACAATTCTAACAAGTACAAATAAATATAAATCTTACTTTTTTAAATATGAGACATTGAACACACTGGTTTATTCTTCTGTTTATACCATGACATGTTTCCTCTGTTTGAAGAACCCATTCAGTGTTAACTGTATGCCTTACATATTTTATCTAATGAGTACATACTCTTAATGCTTAATCATTTACTAAAGTTCCCATATCAATACAATGTGTTTGAAATGTTAACAAGGTTACTGTCATATTTCAATTTGATTATACATTTATTCAACATACAAAATTTAACTTACATAAACAACATAGTTGATAATAGCCTGTCAAATAATGGACTTGGTGTAAATAAATATAGTGAAAAGAACATGTGCAGTTATAAGATGCTTGAGTTACTTAAACTGCAGTTTTTGTATAACATGATCCATGAGCTATGAAAAATATCAACTTTAGCAACAGTTCACTGTTAGCCACACAACCTGGCAATGTTCATGAGTATCTAGATGCTAATGTATATGTGTTTGAATTATTTGACACATGATATCCAAAGTCTGCAGCTGCATTCTCTGGGAAACAGATATAAATTTTCCAATCCTTGATGGGTGCCATGCTCACCTTCTATACTTCACCCTGAGATCTATAACGTACATGTAGTTAGTTGACACAAGTGTATATAGTCATTAGAAAAAAAACTCAGTTTACAATATGTTCCACCAAAGGTTAATTTTTTTGTATTGAAATAGAGGTAACTGTCATTAGTATTGTTGTCTGCATCGACTATAATACTTACAGCGGTTTTTTACCTAAATATGCTATAGTTAGAGAGACAGTTAAAGTGTATTTAGGTCTTACTTTTATATTTTAGTTAATTATGTATTATGTGTGTTTTAAGAATCACATTTGAATGGTTTAATGATTTTTATAAGTTTAACTTGTCACATGGATTGTGAAAAGTTATAAACAAAATGGCTTGTATAAGCACCATCTTGTTTAGGCAAAGCATTTCTGCAGGGCATTAGTTGATGTATTGGCATAAATGATAAAGGAATTTAAAAGGAAAATTTGAAAAAAGGAAAAGATATTTTTGTTTGTAATTAAACATAAAGCTACACAGTGGGCTATCTGTGCTCTGCCCACCACTGGTATGGAAACCCAGTTTCTAGTGTTGTAATTCTGCAGACATACATCTGTGCCACTGGCGGGCAAGTGAAAAGATAAAAACGTGAAATTACACATAAGAAAAATATAACTGTTCTCATGGATTTCTACCAAGAGTTTAAAGGTATGTACATATTTCCATTTGTTAATTTTAAACATTTCATTGCACTGTATGTTGATGATAATAGACAGAGTTAGTGATATAGTAAAAAAAATGAAAAATAAAATATAAATATTTACCTTAAAAAACTTTTGATATTCATTTATGAGGTTCTAAAGATTATGCAAATGAAATGTGAAACTGTAAGATTGAAAATAGTATTTTTATGCTTCATATAAAAATCCACTTGCAGGTGAACTATTCAGTCTGAGTGCAAATAACTAAATGAAATAACAAATTTTTATTAGAAATAGTAAAAGAAGTAAAAATTAAATACTTTATTTTTTCTGACAATACATACTTTTAGGAACGTTTTTGTCAAATTTTAAACAATTTCACACACTAGTTTTATTTTTGTAACGAAATGTGACAAGAGGGGCATTACCTTCCCTCTGATAGCAAATCCGGGTGATATAGGGTTAGTCTTATTTAACCTTATGTGTAACTTTCTGTAACCTGGCCCAATCACAGAAACTATTAGCTGTTTTATAAAATAGTTGTATTACATCATGCTTTTACTGGTGTATTTGAAACTGCTCTGTTATTGTCACACAAAGCAGAGATACTTCCAAATTTGTGTGATCCAATTTGGTCAGCTGCTGTTATTGTATTTTTGAATTAATTATTTATTTCAGTAGGTTCCTCACTAAGATTTTAAAGTTTATATTTTATTCCTTTATTGAACTTTTAACACAGTATTTTTTTTTTACTATTCAATTTTCTCTATTAAGATGATCAATCACCTGTATCTTTTCTTTATCAGTAGCTTATTTTTATTCATCTTTACAATAATTCTTGTCTCCTTTTTTCTCTCTCCATAACAAGTTATCACAACTGCCATACTGAATACTAGGTTCATGAAACTAGTTAATTTGAAGATTAGGTAACTATGTGCAAGACTTATCCTTAGAATACCAGACACCTAATTCAACAATTTTGGTATAGGTAGTATTTTATCTAAAAACAGTTAATCAACTGCAATTAAATTCATGACTAACTTTACACTTCATACAATTTTCTGTCATATATACTTCAAAATCATACTCAAAAAATGTCTGTATATGTAAGTGGGGTATGAGTTATTCAAACTTGTCAGAAGCATCTGCAGTTCGAAACTTTGGGAGGGGGAGGTTAGGAGGAATGCTATATATTTACACTGCACAGAATAGCAACAAATTGCTTATGTTAATAAATTCTATTTTTGTGTAATTTGTATTTTACAGTTTCATGTATTTCTTTGTCATACATTTCTAAGCAGTGGTGTCACACCAATTAATTATTCATGTTATTAGACCTTAAGAATTATCAAATAAGCAAACATGGACCACTAGCAGAGACAACAAATTGAGTAAAGCATACTTTGCTTCATTTTGTACATGCTTACGTGTTTTGAAACACATAAATCTCCTGACATTAAGTTCAAGCATTACAGTTGAATGATTAACAAAAACGTTTTTTTAAGCCATAATACTAGTTTTACCTCACACCCTAATCTTAGCTTGAAGCCTTGTTCCTCTCGAGACAAGCCACCAATAACAGCAACTGTTCTTATTTCAAGCATTTTAGCAAACCTCATGGTCTCTTCTTCTATCTGTTGTGCCAGTTCTCTTGTTGGTGCCAAAATAATTGCGTAAGGACCTTGGTCAATATCTTCTGTCCTGTTGTGTAGACATTTAGAAAGTAAAACATTAAAGTACACAGAGTAACTGTGTTAGCTTTTATGGGAAACAAAGTTTAGTAGAAAGCAATCATAATTTTATATTCTATTAATATTTCAATCAATACATCAACTGAAATGAAATATGCTTAGGTACTCTGGTCTAATGCTCTATGGACTGGAGAGGTATTACTGATATTCCCCTGTTCTTTTCCAATGAAAATATTTAGGCTGCACAGAACCCAGTAACTTTTCTAGATAATCTATTTTCTGAATGGAAAAATGATTTTCCAAAATTTCGCAGTGAAACACTTTTGAAAAACAATAAAAATACTTCCTTTTTTTTCTCAGAATCTCTATTTTTTATTCCTTATCAGAAAGATTAATTTTATGTGTCCAATCATTTTAACTTCTATGATATTTATAAATGTATTTATTTTGCTAACTGAATCAGTCAACTTCCCACTGTAGGTCATAAAAAATATGGTATGACTGATAAAGGTATACTGATGAACAATGACCTCACCTTTCAATATGGCAACACACCTAACTTTGTCAGGTGTAGTAATGTGGCACTTTGCTAACCATATTTTTGGTCAAGATCAATTTATATCTAATAATAAAGTTGTTTTTAATGAATAAGTTCTTATATTTGTATACTTTGTTTGAAAACAAGACTTAATAACATATTCAATAAAAAGAATTTGAGTTATTTGAATGATGGCATAGCAGGTTTTAGCCTATTATACTCACTAAACCTCAGTAGTTCTACTCGAGGGTCTTGTGGTGGAATATTCTTGTAGCTTTCAAAAGGACATAATATGTCCCTCAGAATGATAGAAAAATTATCACTGCCCCGTAATCTTTGAAAAACTGTACTGGTTCACTGTACCACTATTTTAAGGATAACTAGTGGTTTTTCAACATGTTTATTAGTGTTGGCCAGTATTAATTTTGTACACAAAATTATCTATTAGTCTATACAACATTACTTTATCCTAAAAACATGATAAAAGTTTACCTAACAATCTTAGGCAAAGATGTAATCCAAACCAACAGGGGAGTAAAAATGCCAAGGTTTTACCACTTCCTGTTTCTGCAACACCAATAATATCACGATTCTGTAAGCCAATTGGAATAGCTTGTCTTTGAATGGGAGTTGGGTCCTAGTTTTAAAAAGATAAGAGAAAAATATGATCTTACATGCAGTGTTTTAACTCCAATCTGTTTGCAAGATATAGCTATTTTTACAGTTGCAAATGAAATTACCCAAAATAACTCAACTACTTGAAACTTCTTTCATTAAATATCAAGTCTCAGTTTAAAATTCCTGAAAAGTTATTTTAATATCTTCATAAAAAACATTACTGAATAATACTTTTCACATATGTTATAAATGGCTAAATAACAATGATAAAAATTGAGCAGTGACATGAATCATAACAGAATTTTATGAGAAGGTTTTTTTCAAGTAGGACAATTAAATGCAGTACTCTCGTAATTAAGAAAATTTAATATAACAAACTAAAGCCTTTTAACACAATTTAATCAATTCATTTGTTTAAAGTTGCATACATATTCACATTTTGTCACCCAAAATCATCAAATTTAACATCAATTTGAGTGATATTACTAATAACTGATATATTTCTGGCAACCTGTATGTAGAAATTACCACCTTTGAAGAATAGATGTTGAATGTTTAGCACTCTATAGGTAGGAGGCATTCACTTTTCTGTTCAACACACCTTGGACAAAGGTGTCTAAGAAACATTCAACATTATAGATAAAAAGTATTAGCATTTTAGTCCTAGCTACATCTAGATTCAAAATATTCAATTAATTAACCAATCAGAAACACTTGAAGAATAAGTAGGTTTATAAAGTCCCTTGTTTTGAAATTGTAAAAGGAACTACTTAAAAACCTGTATTAATCTTTAATAATGTGTAATTAATATGCAGAATGATTGACACATTAAAATCACGTTTAAGAATTCAGCTTATGTTAGGCTACATACCAATAGTTTACAGCATGCATCATAATTACCACAGCTATGCTACTCTGTTATTACTCTACAGTGTATCTAATATTGTAGAATTCAAGGCTGTGAACATATACATGTAACCTTCTAAACATGTTCATTACACATTATCTAACCTTATAGTTCAGCTGATCAATAATCTCCAGAATTGTTTTTGAGAGTTTAGATTCCTTCCAGCTACGTATAGGGTTAGGGATTTTTCCACCTTTGATAGCAATATTGAAGTCTTCTCTGAAAATTCTCCAATCTCTTTCAGTCATTTGTTCTATTGATTTTTGTGTCCAGTGGCGATCATCCCATTTTTGTTTGTCTTCCTTCTTCCTTATTTTCTTCAAACGAATACTATAAAATTTTCATGTTACAATAGCATATATGGTATTCTACTACCAAATTTGAATTACCAAAAACACTTAAGCATTTAACTTCTTTCTTGAATATCTAGTGTTTATTTTCAGGTCAAATTTCATAACTTATTTCAGCATGAATTTCTCAATACAGGCTCGGTCAGTTTGACCAACCACATAACCTTTTTGTACTCATTTAAAGTCTTAATAAATTTAATATTTATAACTCTCAATATAGTGGGTATATATCTTCAGGAAATTTGGCAGTTTTTCAGTTAACATTACAAGCGTTTCATATACAAAAAGTCATATTTCTTAGTGAAGGTTTTTTTAACAAAATAAATAAAGATCTGTCCATGAATATATTAAGCACTTGTTTTCAATAGTCTGTGTGCAAAGTAACTTTCATGTTAAAAATAAAAATACTTTTCCTGATCTCTAACTTCCTTTATGTAATCCCTAAAAACTTCCTAAATGCATTTCAAACGTTTTTTTCAGTAAATCTTTACCTCTACCATATCTCAAAACAGGATCAGTCAATTCAACTGACCTCGTAACCACCAAAAAAAATCGAAATAAACCTTTTTTTCTTTCTAGAATGACTTCAAATTGTAACATAAAACTACGTTTGTTTATCCTAAGTAGCTCTAAGTTCGTAACAGTATACATCTATTTATAATTAAATTTTATTGCCCTTTGAACCATATCTAACTACTATCAGCACCATTATAAGTTGTAAGTCACTTGGGGAATGTGCAGCTCACGTTATGCTATCGAATTACATTATCCATGAGCTGCTCCTGTGCATGCCTCATGAACCATTTGAATTATATTATTATTATTACTTATTTTACCTAATCTAGTCTTAAATAACTTTTAGATGTTAGTTACTTTTATAATAATAAATAACGAATAAATATGAAAAACAAGAAATAAAGTACTTACCCAATCTTCTTTTTCTTGCTCTCAGGTTTACGACGAGAGTTAACCCTAATTTTATATACTATAGATAGTAATGCACTTAATAATTTTTATTTAATTAAAT